AAAATCCCCAGGAGAAGTTAATAGTAATTGCAAAAAAACCAAATACGTCATGTCTTCCACGTTAACAATTTGTTGTAATTAACAACATTTGTTGGTACATTATATGATCCGCTTAGTGGAATTTGCATTACCGAAAGGGAGATTTAATATTCGTAGTGCGATGCGTCCTCGTTATTCCGTAAATAATAATATTACATTAATAATTCATGATGTAACTGCACTCTTTGTGAATTCGAAACGGCGGAAAATTGTATAATTTTCTCCTGACACTTGAGAGAGCCGGATTCGAACATGGTCAAACCTTTTTATTTGCAGCATCAAAGGTCCTTTTGAAATACAAGGCGTTCTGCACAACGGCCAATTTTATTGTGTGTGAACCGAACAATCATGCCTGGATTTACTTTGCTTCTTGACGGTCAAAAGTTTTTTTACATTTATTTTTTGATACTAAGGGCATTAATGGAATAATGAAAACTAAGCACACAGACGACGCGATTGATTTTATCAATTTGTAACAGCCAAGAAGAATATTAAAAGTTTCGTTAAGTTTTAATCCTTTAAGGTTCTTGTTTTATTTTTTTAATGAATCATCAACACGTTTGTTTCATTTTCGTGTTCTAATTTTCTTTTGGCCATCTCACCAACTTTAATTAATTATGTATCGTTGATTTCTTCGTATTTTACGATGCATATCCCTTCCTTATTTTCTTTTTTTTTTTAATAAACTATCAACACGTTTATTATTATAATTTTATTTGCAAATACGGGGGTTCTCCCCCCTGCTCTAAAAAGAGAAGAAATAACGTTGAAATATTGTGCGAGCAAATGGGCAAAGCCGATCCATTTCTTACATAAGACACTTTTTGACCCTAACTCCAGCGAAAGATTCTCTCTCTTAAGGATCCCTACGAGGCCGCTGGCCATAAGAGCCAAGGAAATATTAGCGGCGTGGGGAGTAGAGCTGAACCAAGTGAAGGCAGAAAAACTACCTGAAACACCCCCATGGTTACTCCCTGACTTCATCGTACGGTGGGATTTGGCCAAATTAAAAAAGAACGAGACCCCCCACTACGTATATAAAGGAAATTTTGAAGCCCTGAAAAACTAATATAGAGATGCCAGACCCGTCTTCATAGACGGGTCAAAAATGGCAGAGGGCGTGGGGTGTGCCGTGTACACGGAGGGAGAAACAAAAAATTCGTCACTCCCTCCGCGAGCGTGTACACGGTGGAACTATACAGGGTGAATTGCTACTCGTGCTACAAACTTCTCCAGTAGATTCTTCACCCTAAAATGAACAAAAAAGTTCATATTGTCCATGGTCCGATTCTCAACCATTTCAGAGTAATTTCGCTTTTTATCGATTTTGAAAGATATCACGTCCTGGCGTCGGAAAATCGTGATATCTTTTAATCTAAACATTTCTCTTAAAATCTATAAGCACCGTTGAAATCCCCGTTAATTTTTAGAGAGAATCAAAATCATAATTCCATTGAAATTTTTTAATTTAATTTAATGCCCATTTAGTATGTAATGCTTAAGAAGTTTACAAACAGCTAGAAGGTCAAGGAAGAAAGACCCAAACGTTTTGCCACCTTCATCTTCTTATTGAAAAATTAACGGGGATTTCAACGGTGCTTATAGATTTTAAGAGAAATGTTTAGATTAAAAGATATCACGATTTTCCGACGCCAGGACGTGATATCTTTCAAAATCGATAAAAAGCGAAATTACTCTGAAATGGTTGAGAATCGGACCATGGTCAATATGAACTTTTTTGTTCATTTTAGGGTCAAGAATCTACTGGTGAAGTTTGTAGCACGAGTAGCAAGTCACTCTCAAACATTAGCAATCCTTGAACCACCATTTTTTCTCTTTTTGTCATCAACATCTTGGTCTCACAACCACTAAATAAGAAAATGACGAGTGCGTTGGAAGCGTTATTAAATCAGGTAGTTTTCCTCAAATTTGCTGCCTTCTGAGACTAAAATTAGAAACTCTGGATTACTTTATACACTTTCCGATTTACACAATTTTCCACTCTTTTTGTAGTTCTGGCTGAAATAAAACACAAAAAATTAGCCCAAACATTTTGCCACCGTCATCTTCTTATTGAAAAATTAACGGGAATTTCAACGGTGCTATTAGATTTTCAGAGAAATGTTTAGATTAAAAGATATCACGATTTTCCGACGCCAGGACGTGATATCTTTCAAAATCGATAAAAAGCGAAATTACTCTGAAATGGTTGAGAATCGGACCATGGACAATATGAACTTTTTTGTTCATTTTAGGGTGAAGAATCTACTGGAGAAGTTTGTAGCACGAGTAGCAATTCACCCTGTATGCCATATCCCTCGCACTGAGCATAATAAAAAGTTAGCGTCAACCGACTCGCTCAGTACGGTCCAGAAGCTCAGGAGAATAAGCTCCGTGAACCCATTAGTAAACAAAATACAAGAACAATTACAAGGGATCGACAGAGTTGGGAAGAAGGTGTTGTTGTGGGTTCCCGGCCACATAGGGAACGAAGCAGCAGACAGGGCGGCCAAAGAAGTAGCCAGAGAACCTCACGACGCTTCCCAACCTATACGCCCAGGGGATCTCAAATTATTAATTTCAAATTCGATAAAAGAAGAATGGAAAAAACGAAGTCAAACTGTGGCAGGTTAAGAAAAACGTCGGTCCCTTGTTCACGGAAAATGGGTCAAAAAGGAAAAGGTCATACTGACAAGACTACGCATAGGTCATACAAGAATTACGCACGGGCACCTTCTAGCAGGAAAGCGACCGCATAGGTACCCATTAGGCAAGGATAGAGTAACAGTCGAGCACCTTTTCTATTGTAGAACTCTCGACTTTTATAGGCAATATTTTGGAATATCATCGGACCTGTGCGTAGTCTTGGTGCACGGCAGCGGGCACAAATCGCTTTACCGGTACCTCAGGGCTATAGGGACTTTCAAATATATATAGTTTATGTGTGTTTTTCCTGTGTTGTGTTGTGTGTGAAGTGTTTGTGTCGTGTTTGTGTGGTGTTTATGTTAATATATTAGGATGAATGTAATTTATTAGCGTGAAAGGAAGGGGTTATTTATCGCGCCACGAGGAATATCGAGTACTGTGGGGTGAGTGTGTGATGTCTGGAAAGCAAAAGTAAGTTATTAGCGCGAATGGAGTGGGTTCGGCCCCGCCCCGAGGAATATCGAGTACTCTGGGGNTGAAATAAGAGAAAAAAAAAGCGAACTTCGAAGAAAGAGAAAAACAAAGAGAAACCTCTACATAAAAAAAAAACAAAAACAAAAAAAAACAATGCAAAGGACCTTTCCAAAACTATAATACAGCTATGTACAGCGAAGTAGGGTGATCATTCAGAAGAAGGGAGAGAAATCAATGCTCGTACGGGTCGGACATAATAACCGGCAGACGTACGAACAGTTGCTACGCGGGTTACTCCATCAGCGCCAGGGTGAACCTCCTGAACTCGACCGATGGGCCATGATAGAGGGGACGTCCCTACTCCTCGCAAGAAAACTACATCACCAACTCTTAGCGAAGGGGACGACCGATGCCACTTTTTCCTCTGAATCAACGTATTCAAATATTCGTTGGACCAGCGGCGCCAAAACACTTGGAGAAGTTGCCTTAGATGATGCCATCGGGAAATAGGGCGAAATTCGTCAGTCATGTGCCGCTCCGGAGTCGAGAGGGGAGTTGTAGTGAGCAAAAAATGGGCGGGACTCAGATAGTCTGGATCATCTCCAACCCCGGGCACAGTGGAGCAGAGGGGGCGACTATTTAGAACCGCTTCAATTCTAGCAAAGAGAGTACTGTACTCCTCAAAAGTCTGGGCTCTATCCCCAACAAGACGATATAAAAGCTTTTTGGCGGACTTGACCACGGCTTCCCAGAGACCGCCGAAATGAGGGGCAGCAGGAGGGTTAAAACGCCACTGAATGTTTTTTTGGGAAGCGTGTGTGAAGATGGCCTCTTTTTTTTCTTCTAGAAATGAGCAGACTTCCTTGAGAGAGCAAGCGGCTCCGCAATAGTTTCTGGTGGAAGAGATCGATGCAGGAGCACAGAGGGTTTTTCGGAGATTCGCGTTATTTTGGATCTTTTTTAATTAATAAAGGAGAGAAACATACGGGANTTTTATAGTTGATTTCTTTTGTTCTTTACTAGGATCTACATGTTTTTTGATGTCTTACATATTCTTTAAGTTTCTTTAATTTTTTAATCAACTGTGAACACGTTTATTATTATATTTTTGTTTTAAAATGCATTTTCGGGTCATAATTTTCTTTTCGTTCCTCCACCAGACGTTGTTAAATTTTTATGGTTGATATCTTTAATTCTTGTCTACGATATGTATCCCGTTCTTCTTTCTCTTCCCTTCCTATCATTTTTTGTGGACTAACAAACAGTTGCAATATTATATTTCCGGAAATTTAAAGTGGAACAGCACACATTAATTGTCAATGAGAACTCAGGTTTCATATTGGTTCAATATCAAGAAAAATTACATGATGTTTTAAGAAAATAGTTATGTAGAATGCAATAAGTTTTTTAATCAACTAAAAATCTGCTACAATCTAAACTTTATTTGAAATTACAAATAAACTTTTCTATGTTCAGACATACATTTTCTTCTTCGTAACAACGATTACAAAGTATGTGAACTGGGTGTACAACAAGCTAAGTTTGTCGTTTTCTCCAGGAGTGAAAAACTGCTGCGACTTGTAAAAAAAATTGACCTACTTTCCAGAAATAAATCGGTATATAAGAGCAAGTCATAGCGAACCAGGGGGTGATAAAGACCCTAACACGTACGTAGATCCCAGGCGAGCCATCCATTATAATAATTATATAGGTGGAGTATTAGGTGCACGACACAAATGTGGCCGGCTGTTTCAATTATTGATATTAATGATACAACAAAACACAAAATTTGCGTTGATTTTTCGTTATTTATAACAGCCAGTCTTTTTTTTTTTTTGCAGTTCCTCCCCAGAAGCCGACGATATTCGACGACAGGGGAAAAGAAGTGCCATCCGTTGCTGGCCCGTACGAAGAGGGATCGGAGCTGAAGCTGACTTGTATAGTTTCAGGAGGTAATTAACACATATTTTAGTAATTGTTATTAACGTTTTTTTTTATTTGTAGTACATTACAACTACCTTCAAGTAGGTAACAAGTAACAATGAGCAAGGTAATATATACAAAATTAAAAACAAGAGCGGAGAAAATACTCATTGTTATGACTAAAATATTGTCTGATTAATTGATACTCGTGTATCACTTTCACTATCTTCACCATCAGTTCCTAGGAGATCTCGATGTCATTGTCTCTTCAGTCGGCGGGGAGGGTTTGATGGGATTCGTTGGGATGCGAGGTTTCTGATGTGCTGATTTACGGTAGTTGGGAGGGTTTTGTGAAATTTGCGGTAATGGGAATGGATTTCATCTCGAACGAAATGGATATGGAAGTTTGTGTGTGTAGTTAGGTTCGATATATAAAATGGAGCATCTAGTATTTTTCGTAGAATTAAGAACTGGGCAGTTGGAATGTTTGGCATTATTAATGTAACGTTAAATCACTTATTCCCCAGCATCATTTAAATGAAAATAGTTGTCTAAATCTTTTCATATCACTAAATTATTCCGGTAAGATTGAACGGTAAGAATAACTTTACAGTTACGATTTTCATTACAAACAAGTAAGGATTTTTTTTTTCAAATACTTAATATACTTTTCAATTTTACGTCGATGATTTTATGTTTTGAAAACTCTGATTGTTTCAAAAGGTGTCTTTATTTATAAATAGTAATGTATGCAAATAAATCATTAAGGTTAGTTTTATTTTATTTTAAAATGATTATTTAGAGATCGAGAGGTGCAGTCTGGTGTGATGTAGCTTTAAAAACAGTTTCTTTATCGTGACAACGTTACGATCTTTGTTGAGATCATCTTCAGTGCCTGAGATTTACAAACACTGTTCGCATTATACAAATACATTTAAGATATTAAAATGAATTTATACAATGATGTTCGCAATATAGAAATTTTAGGTTTATTTCAAATATTTGTACTCACTGAAATTGCGTGATTTCTGTGTAGATGTGTCACTGTTGTGTGTCGTGGTGAGAGAGTTACTGAGATATTAATGTTTTTTGTTTATACATGTTTGATTTTAAAGGAGTGGAGAAGGAAGTAGGGATAGAAATCCATTTTTCTATGAGTAGCCGGCTTCCTTGAGGTGAAAGGGTTCGACAATGAAAAAGTGGGTAATGTTTTGTCAGTCGGGCCTGGTTAGCCATTAAGAATTATTATAGACGGGTTTATTAGGGAAAGGAGAGATGAATTGTTGGAGATTTAGATTCTATAGAATTGTTTGATGTGTGGAGTGTAATGATTGTTTTATATGTTGTATTGTTTTGTGTGCTAGATGTATGTTATTGATATTGAATTTGATTTATGATATTAGCGTAGCTGCGGCTGAGTCTACATGTTCCTGTTCTGAAATAGATACTGTGTTTATCTCTGATGGTGTAAAATTTAAAATACTGGTTAGTAACTGATGCCTAACATCGTAAAAAAGCTAAGATTTTATTGAAATACATTAACGATCTATTTGAAGAAGTACTGGACGAACGTTTCTCGGACAACATTGTTTCTCTATTATTTTGATTAACTCCGCTTTTATGTGATGCATGTTGATTTTGATAAACATTTATTTTTCATCAGAGAAGCGTGTACCTTCTGTTTATGTATCAAACTCCAAAGTTTTACTGTAGTTCAGTGATTTTTTGAGATCATTTAGTTGTTCAAAGAGAGTCCAAAAAAGTTCTATTTTTGTTGGGTTTTTTCTTAGTGTATTAGTTTTTAATTTAGTCTATTACAATCTTTTTGTAACTAAGGTCTTGTAACAATAGAAAATAAATGGCTTTTCTAAGTACCATAGCTTTTTCCTAGCTATTGCAGGGTACTTGCTGTGAATATTTTGTTGTCTCAGTATACTCTAAAATTCTTTCTGTTTGCCTCATACCTGGCATACATTCGTAGTAATTTTTGTGTTATTTAGTTCCCTAAGATTCCAGTTTTTTAAATGTGACTATAGTTTATGCTACAAAATAGATTTAGACTGTTTGTTGTCCGAGGTTCCCTTTTTATGTCGTATTCTGCGGTCTGATTGCATGAAATTCCCTCTTTACCTGAACCCATCATAGTGTTAGGCTATCTGCGAATCCCAGTTTTTTGGAAGTTGAGAGAGTTCTTGACGAGTTTTTAGATTATCTTGTAAGCTTGGAGAGCTTTAAGATCTATATGGCTATCTGATAGTATGTTCATTGTTGCACTGTTATGATGTTTGTTATTCTCATTTGCAGATAACTATGTATGTGCACAAATTTAGACGCCTTTATGCTCATACCCGAACCTTTTTTATGTTCGAGTTATTTGTATACCACAGAAGAGTTTCATGTTGATCTTTTCATTTTATTTTTTCAATTAGCCCTTTTTTCAATACTTATGTTCAATGGTTTCTCGTAGCCTAATATTTTCTTTGAGTCAGAGAAGTCAGAGATTGTTTGGTTCAGTTCAGGAAAATTGAGTTTGGTGTATGGTATTTTTACAAGAATCGTTAGAATTGTATACATTTATTTCAAGAAATTAGACTGTAGAAATTTAGAATATGAAGGGTGGATTAGGTAAGACAATAAAAACAAATCGGGAATCGATCATTCAAAAAGGATCTCTTGAGTATCCACGTTCATCTTTTTTTTGTATTATTTTTTCAATTAGCCTTTTCTGGTTGCCTTAAATTCACTATTCACCTGTGATCAAACATAGTGTTAGGCCATTTGTATTTGTTTATGGAATTTAGTCTGTTTCTGATTAGATTTAAGTTGATCTCGTAGGCTGGTTGCCTTTGGACCTGCCTGGCTATATTATAAAATAATTATTGTTGCATACTTGCGATGTCTGTCATTTATTTCATGTGCACATGTTTCGACAACTAGCAATTCGACTTAAAAAAATGGTTGCAATGAGGTCGAGAGGCATGAGGTGCTCATAGTTAGGCACCTACCGTTACCATTTCCCATAGTTGACCCATAATACCATAGTAGAACCCCAGGATTTTCTTTGTTCTATTTCCTCTCTTTTCATTTACTATTGTTTATTTTAATTAATGGTTAATTTTTAATATCATATTAAGAATTTATAGCTACGGGTTTTTAAAACTAGTGAATCTGTATTTGTTTTGCAATAACTAAATTGTGAAAAAGATTTTTGAATTTTTTTTAGTAAAAAAAATAAATCTCCATTTATGAGTATTGAGTATTTTTTAATGCACTCCTCGCTTCTTTGGCGATTATTGTCCTGCAAAATTTAAAAAAGAATATTTTTATTATGGTGAAGGTTTTGAGAGAAAATTGTACCGAAATATGAAGAAATACAGTTTTTCAACAAACATGATTATTATATGCACAGTTATTTTACTTTCATGTCAACATTTTTTATATTATGAAATTAATCCATAATAATTGAATATAGTAATTACAATCATCAAATTTGACCAAATATTCATTAGCCCAGTATTGTTTGAGGGAAAATACAATCAACGCTATAATTTTAAGTGATGCTGAACTGATTTTAATAACTAATGAGACTAAATATGAGATTTATGGACGGTAGGAAATGCATAAACTGGCATTGCCGGTAAAGCCTGTCCCGAGGGAAAAAAGGTGAGACGCATGTCAAAGGAAATTCCAGATTAAAAGGGACGACGGTAGAAAGTAAGAGAATTAATATTAAATTAAATTAAATATCAAGGAACGCAAATAAACTTAACAAAAAAGAGCTAGAACGAGGAGAGGAGATTATTTTACTTAAATATAGTCAATTAAAAAAGTAAACTTTTCAGAAATTCTCCCCTCATTTAGGGTTACCCCTTTAGACATAACAACGATTAAGACTCACGTGTCAAAATGTACCTTTTTCTTCTTTGTTCATTACTATTTTTACATAGATTACGATGATGACGTGCTTGTGACCAGATTTTCAGTTTTCATTACTTTGCCTGTTATTCATCCCCGTTAATTTGTCACAAACTTAAATAATAACTGTAATAATGATGCAGGAAGTTTAGGGGTTAGTTGACCAACAGCTGTGTTCATCGGGGTCCGTGTTGTACTTCTTATGTATGAGAATAGGCGATATCCTAAAATTTGTACCTGTGGTTATCAAGTACGGAATAGACATAAAACAGACAATAAATATATGTACATCACCTACATCACCACAAACAGTCGTCACATTCACTCCTACAAAGTACTCAATATTCCTCGGGACGGGAATGAACTCCATTCTCGCTAAAACTTACTTTTACTTTCCAGACGTCACACACTCGCCCCGACGGGGCTGGAGTATACAACCCCTTCCATTCACGCTAATAAATTACATTCATTCCAATAAATTAACATAAACACTACCCAGACACAACGTAAACACACACCAACACTTTATACACTATACTATATAGCGATCTGTGCCCGCCGCCGTGCCTCAAGTCTACGTACAGGTCCTACGATATATCAAAATATTATAAGAATTAGGTATGAGAATTAAACTCGTAATTCATCTATTAGAATCAAAGTTAGCTCATCACTAGAGAATAATTAATGTCTTTTAATTTGAACGGTCCCTGAGAAAAAGAAAAAAAACGAATTAAGACATAGCCATGCAAAGGCTTTTTATACTCGTTTTCCACAAGGGTTTCTATCCTCATTAATCACACTCATTCAACGCACATTAATTCGCCTGTTTCCGTTTAATTAAATTTATTCCACTTACATATTGAAATTTTACACACTGATTACATTACATACTGAAATTTTACTCAAGCATTATATCGATTTTTCAGCCTTTATCATGAACCGTTATGTTTTAATCGTTGTAAGGATGTATTTATAAAAATTCAATGATAATTCCTTTAAAGTTGAGCGCATTTGTTTGGACGAAAACAATGAAATTTAATTTTGCAGTCATTGGTAGACAAATACTGAGGCCAAATTGTATTAAAATGAACATAACAATGATTATCACAAATGC